AATAACATTTAAAAAAAATATTTTATTTATTATTTTTATTTTATGTGTGAGTGTATCGCCTGCACGTATGTGAGTGCACCCGTGTTGTGCAATGCCATGGAGGTCAGAAGAGGGCTTCGGATTCCCCTGGAACTGGAGTTAAGGATGGTTCATAGCTGCCATGTAGGTAGGTGCTGGGAATTGAACCTGGATCCTCTACAAGAGCGGTCAGTGCTCCTAACTGCTGAGACATCTCTCCAGGCCCCAATAACATTTTTTAGGTACATAAATATTTATGTGATAGTGACTTTAAAGGTTTTAGGACAATTCTAGATTACAATTTAAAATTTAAAAATTCAAAGAGGAAGATTAAGCTTGGATTTATGCCAAGCCAGGTGTATCTACCCAGACATTAATCTTTTTTCATTCAATATTCAAATATTTCATTTAAATATTCTGAATATTTGAAAGGTACTTGGCCATATTACTCACAACATACATTTCCAACTATGAGGGAAGAAACATACTAAATTATGTAACCTATAATTTGTGTTTGATTGCTAAATAGCAGAAAAATATGGTTCTGGCATTTGTTTTTTTCCTATTCTGATACAAGCATAGATTTGGTGGACTAATAAGCCATATTAACAATGGCAAAGATGTGGAGGGCACCTTTTCACTACAGGTGTTTCATAAGCCAGTGATCTGTGAATCTGGGTTGGGGGAGGTAGGGGATGTTGACGGGCATACCACAAGGGTATTTCATTTGAAAGGAGCACATCATACTCACTGGGAGCAGAACTGCCGAAGAGGCTATAAAAAAACAATCCTGGCTCTGGAGCCAAGTCCTTTCTCTCCCTTAGCTCTCTCCAGACTTCACAGGTACTGGATCCTATGCAGAGTCTTTGAAAGTGAAATGGGAAAGTGAGGGAGTTTCTAACTGTGGAAAGAACTGGCACTGGTGAAGTTTGGGCAGAGCTGAGCATGGCAGGCTAGGTAAGGTCCAAGCACATCTTCCAGAGGGGCCTCTCAGTGCAGCGTCCCCAGGGTGCAGTGTCCCTGGGGTGCTGATCCTGCTTACTCAGCAGCTGCTGCACAGTCTAAGATCAGTATGTGAAACAGGCTGAGCAAGAGAATCGTTCTTTTTTGGATTAAAATAAACCACAGTTAGATCCTCTCTGTGCTGGGCCTCAGAGGTCACGGACATAATGGCAGAGCAGTCCACAAATCAAAATGGCTCCAGGTCAGAACAGAGCAGCTGCCTAAGAGAAAACACTGGTGCAAAGCATCAGAAGTCCCTCTGATAGCTTGCTCACTAGGCAAGGAAATTCAGTCTAGTGCATGTAGATATACAGACTATGTAAGCGATGACTTGGTATCACAAAGGCAGGGGCTTGTAGTTGTTACTTTTCTCATTCTTGCAACCAAAAACTGGACTAAAAGTAACAATACATCCCTTCATGGGTGAGGGGGCTTGTTCCAACCAGGAAGCAGGCAGAGGAAGGCCAAGGTTCATCTGGCTTTCTTCTTTTCTCCCTTTGAAGAAGGCTGGGACCTCAGTCACTGGATGATGCTACATATTCAGGGTGGGTCTTCCCTCTGCAGTAAAGCCTCTGCAAAAAGTAGCTGGGACACACCCATAGGCGTGCCTCATTAGGCATTTCCTAATTCAAGAAGTCAAGGATCAGAACTCACATCACCAAGTTCTCACCTTAGGACTCTGAGGATAAGAAGACAGACACGGACAGCGAGCTTCTATTCAGGTGAAACACTGTGAATCTCAGAGGGTAGCAGGCACATGAGACTTGTGTTTGCTGTAAGAGCAATTTCATGAAGCTATTTCTTCTACAGCTTGGATTTTTAAAAAAATATTTTACTTACTATTTTTATTTTATGTGTATTGCCTGCATGTATGTAAGTGCATACATGTCATGTGAACCCACAGAGGACAGAAGAAGGTGCCGGGGAGTCCCTGGAACTGGAATTACAGACCTTTGTTAGCTACCATGTGGGTGCTGGAACTTGAACCCAGGTCTTCTGTAAGAATAGCCAGTGCTTTTAACCACTGAGCTGTCTCTCTAGCTCCTACACCTTGGAATTTTATATTCAAATTTGCATCACTGTCTGGGATGTTATTTGACAAGAGAAGGCTAAAATACTCTGTACTTTCAAACTAATACACACCACTATTCATACAAACTTAAAAACCATGATCTTTTTCCTGGAAATAAACACTAGATCAGTGGATAAGTAAACTCATTACTTCTTTACTGCTTTTTAATTTTTATTCTAACAAATGTAGAAACTATGAACACATTAATATTCCTTCTATATTTTGAAATCAGTTTCAAAGCTGATTTAGTTGTTTTCATTCCTCTAATTTTAATATTCTGGTGACCTCCCTTTCATTTCCTTCCTAATCCCTTCTTTTAAGACTGCTCTGTTTCTTAAGCGACCATTAATTTTCCTTATATCAACAAGAACTTGTCAAAGAAGTTGTGCAATTTATGTCACAGAATTAAATAAAAACACCAATGTCTACTTATTTGCTTTTAAAATTCCTTATAACCTTAATTTTATAGATAAGCAGGAAGGTTAAGTAGAGACTAACATTCATGACACTGCCTCAGGGACCTCACGATCTCTTCAGGTTACTCCTGTAAAACTCCAAGGCTACCCCTCTGTCTTGTTATTCAGTGGAGTAAAACTGCTAGTTCCAGAAAAACTGGAACTGAAATGAAACCCCAAAATTGAGAGGGGACATGCCACTGTGGTGGTATCACTGACGGATTTATGTGCATACAGAAACAAAGACAAAATCAGAGAATCGTCAACTCAGAGCATTGGGGGCTTACTCTCATTCAGGCATCTGAGATCTGAATCTATTTCTATACACAGGATTAAACGTAAGGAATGGCTGCCTGCTTGTGTACTGCCCATGTCCTCTAAACTTATGAGTTAAGAGTGTGATTTTCGGGGCTGGAGAGATGGCTCAGCAGTTAAGAACACTGGCTGCTCTTGCACAAGACCCAGGTTCGAATCCCAGTACCCACATAGCAGCTAACGACTGTCCATAACTCCAGTTCCAGGGGATCCGACAGCCTCTTCTGTCCTCCACGGGCATTGCACCACACGGGTGCACTTACTTATATGCAGGCAATACACGCATACACATAAAATAAAAATAATAAATTTTTTAAAATATTAAAAAAAAGTATGATTTTCCTCCTCTGTGTATTCCTTGCAGGGCTTAGTGTTCTGAACATCCACCACTCTCACCATCTGACAGAAGAAACCCGAGCTTTTGCTCACAGGGTTTAAGAACCCCCTACTCAAATACCCCCTACTCAAACAGGCAGACCGTCAGCTTTTTTCTTCTCTCCTTTACCACAGAAGTAACTGTGTAAGAGGTTAAATTATGACGTATCTCTAGGGCTTATGAAACATCTAAGGCAAATAAGTTCTCTAAGAGCTAATTCTCTTAAATATCTTCTCTAGAATATACTACGTAAAATAGTAAGTCTATGAAAGCTTCCTTAAAGAAATGGCTCTATCATCTACCAATTATGCATGAATAAACAGTTTGCTCTGGAACCTGACAAGCCGCTGTGGTTCTGTCCCTCGAGAACTGAGTGCTGTGCCCAGGCTGGGGCCAGTAGTCACACCTGTGCACTGCCCCTGCCTCCAGTTCTGTAATCTCCGTCCCGGAGGCTAATTAAACTGCCTTCATTCTAGAATAGGACAGAAAAAAGCAAAAGAGGGTTTGTAAGCATTTCTTGCAGTGTTAAACATAAAAGCAATGCTAGTGCTACTACCCCAGTCATAAATTCTACACCTTAGCTGAGAGTACATAGATAGAAGACAGACCCATGAGCTGTTGTGCCTCCAATGGTCACATGACCCCTAGCAGCTCACACACCTAGTCACACAGAGCCAGGGAATCTCTGCTGCAGCCCGAGGCTCCTGGAGACTTCACGTTCAGCACTAAACACTAACTTTCAGTTTCATGCTCGTTTTACCTCTCCACTTCTTGGAGATTAAGCCATGATAATGCCTGAATAAACCTGAATGTGTTCACTGTAGATCAGCTCAAGTCTCTGCTCAAGAGTATTTAGCAAGAGGTTAGTGTTGTGAACCTGGAAAATCTCATTCCCTACAAACATACAGAAAGTGTGCTTACTGTGGAGGGCAAATTTCCCTTCTCTTCCTAGCTTTAGAGGCTGTATTATTATCCCTTGCAGGAAAGAAAGAGAACCGAAATATTGATTCGGATTGTTTTTTTCTTATTAAGTTACAATATTTACTTTTGAAGCCAAAATATCTAATTTTGAACATTCTCATCATACAAAAGAACTAATTAGACCTGAAGCCACCCAGACCAATAAAAACCTAAATAAGGCTCTTACCATCCGTGCAGCTTAGCTTTCAAAATCAATCTGTAACACATAATGTGTACATGTGTGAAAGTCCTCATGTAGCACATGCTGTGTACAGACAATATACACAGAAGAAAGACTTGTGAAATTTAGCAAGTTATTAGATCAGAACATAGACTGAATTGCCACAAGTATCGTTGTACCAGCTACTTTCCTCCTTCTCCTCCTCCTCCCCCTCCTTCCCCCCTCCCTCCTCCCTCCTCCTCCTCCCCCTCTAGAAACAAGCATTTATCAAGGACTTAAGCATTTACCAAGCACAGATCTGCTTTTCTCGTTTTGCTCATTTTCCCACCTGTATTTTGCATGCATAAGAATGTTTCTAAAGATATTTACTTTAGTTCTAGATGTCACATGAAACATAAGCAACATAAAATCAACAGCAAAGGCTTCAACTTTAGATATTAGGAGGACATTTGTACAAATAACTCTGGTTTTTTAAAAAATCAATTTTGAAATCTACTCAAAATGCCATTAATAGACTTGTTTCCTGGTTCCATCCCCATACAGGGTAGGTGCCTTTTCCTCACTTAGGGACACAATTCAGGACAGTTCAGTGAAAGGAATCATGTTTAACCACTGACCTACCATATAAAACATATAGAGAGACAGCAAGGTAAGTCCAAGGTTATATACCACCAGAATTCCCCTGCAAGAGAACGGCTGCTTGTTCTTCATGTACTTTGGTCCTAGCCATACAATCAATAAATAAATAACAGAGCAGACAAATGTAGGTATATAATTGTCCAGAAGAAACCATCCTTTTACTCTCGTATCTGAAAGACATCAGAAGAAAAATATTTAGCAATGATTAAGATAGATATAAAAAGAACTGTAACTTCTAAAAACATACAAAATATTTCTCTAGCTATAATTTTTTAAAGTTTATTTTTATTTTGTGTATGAGTGTTAGACCTTCATGTAAGTGCACCTGTGTCATGCAGTGCCCAAGGAGAACAAAAAAGGGCATCAGATCCTCTGGAACTGAAATTATAGATAGTTGTTAGCTGCCATGTGTGTGCTAGGATTCAAACCTGGGTCTTCTGCAAGAACAGCCAGTACTGTTTATGTTTTTACTCATGAGTTATGTGTATATCTATGTGGGGATATGTGCACATGAGCGCAGGTGTCTATGGAGGCCAGCAGTGGGTCTCAGATCCCCTGGGACTGGTGGTTGTGAACTGCCCAAGAAAGTGGGAAGATCAGAACTCAGGTCCTCTGAAGGAGCAGTATGGACTCAACCACTGAATCACTTCTCTAGCCCCTTTAACCAAAATTTTATAAAACTATGCATGCTAGGGACTAAAATCAGGGCTGCGTGCATCCTAGGCTCTACCAATAACCTACATGCAGAAGTCACCTGATATTGTTTCTAATCCTAACAATGCAGAATACATATAAATAAGGTCAATCTTGATATATATTTTTTTTTATATATATATATATTTGAGATAATTTATTACTCATGGTTTTTGCCAAGTAAAAGAATAAAAACATGCTTTCAAAAATCTGAAAGAAAAGAAGAAAGCTAAACTTTCCACTAAGTTTATTAGATCTGTTGACTTGTATATGGGGTCATGAGACCCATGAAATGGTAGTCTGCATTCCAAAGTCCTTCACCTCAGGAGTACCCAGCATGTGCCTAGCATGTGCAGGCTCAAGCAATGTGCCCTTTGGACAGGTTAGGGGTCTTACTGGAAGACGGAGTGTGCTGTGAGTATAGCAGACAGCAGCAGAGGAACAGTAAGTCAAAACAAATACACTATTGTCTCAGCCACGGTCAGACAGTGCCTACAGACAGTTACAGCACTGTAAGAGCCTGAGAGACCCACGATGATCCAAGAGAGCTTCTGGAGTAGACAAGGACACCCCACTCTATCTTCTCCCCCTGGTAGGGACGAGAAAGAGAAAAAAAAAACAAACCAGGCCCAAGTAGCTGCTAATAACAACCAACAGCCCCGTGCACTGACGGTTCTGTCTTGCTTCTCTCCCTCATGTTCCCCTTTGATCTTGCAGGGAGGAGGAATCGGCCCAATAAAACACATGCTCACTTCAGGGAACTGCCAGTCTTCCTTTTGTGCACTCTGTTCCCAGTATGCCTTTCATGGCTTGCTTTCTTTGGCTCAGAAGGATGCTCCCTCCACATCCACCCTGTCAGTTAGGCTAGGCACCTGGGAGGTACTGTCAGTTCTAAGAACTGGTAGTTCTCAGAAGTCCTTCAGGGAAGTGACTGACCCCAGAAATCTCAGTAAAGGGATTCCTAACACCTTTGGTTCTCAGTTCGAGGCCTTAGGCCTTAGCTGTCTATTTTGAGAAAGGAAGGTACCCCTTACCACGGAACAGATGGTTACATCTTTAGTGCGTACATGTATCATGAGCAAAATGAACACATGCATTTCACCTAACATTCTGTTGTGCACCTTGCTTTTGTAGCAGATCTTCATTCCCACATATCAGCAAGGACCCATCCTCCTTCTACTCCTAGGGGTGCTGCCATGGCAGTTGGTCCCAAGCCCAACCCCAGGCAAAGAATCCCTAGGGATCTAGGCAACCATGGTGGCTTAATGCTCCAAGTTCAGAATCGCCAGTTCAGAAACATCCGGATACAGGGAAGAACTTTAGTCCCTGAGTCTTTAGGGATAAGCGAGTTGAAAGCTTTCTTCAGTCTCACAATCAAGCAATAAATAAATGTGTTCTTCCTGCTTTGGGTGTGCTGTGCCTGGAGCTGTGATCATCATGACGGTGGCTGTGCTGAGGACAGGGCTGCTTAGGTTAGGGTGGTAAAGTAGAAAAAGACAAGACCAGCGGTTTTTAGTTAATGTAGACCCTTGAAATAACACAGCAGCTGCCCTTCCTCACAAAGTAATAATTCTTAGCATTATTTTAGTCAATTAAGAGTTGGATTTTCAGTCTCTCACAGTCTAGCAAGAAGGCACCGTCTCAACTTGAGCACAGGCTGATGGATCTGATTTGTTGCTTATTCTGTGCCTTGCTAGACACCTTGCTCTGGCCCGGAACTTGTTATGTGGCTAGGGTTACTCTTGATTCTTCTGCCTCAGTTTCCTGAATGTTACAATACAGTTTTTTTCAACCATTCCCAAACTACCTGTTCTTTTCAACTGGCCATACTTTATTTAACCTGTTCCTGATTGATGGGCGGTCTTAACAACACTGTAATGGGTATCCTTCAATGTACCTTTGCATAACTGATCAAGGTTCACTGTAGTATAAGTTAAGCTTAGTATCACTATGGCTAGTCATGTACACTTCAATTTCAATGTAGCCAAGAGACTGTACCTGATTAGACCAAGCTTATCACAGATGTTACCAAACATCATTTTACCTCTGACACACTGGTAGGTGAGGTTCTTTTGTTTTCTCTGTGTTTTAAAAAACACGAGTGAAACCAAGAACCCTTTTATCTGCCTAAAAGCTACCTGTGGTTTTTCAGTGACTCTTTCTGTTGCAGTTTGGATTGGGAAAGTCACCTAATGACTCACATGCTGCAGGATTGTTCCCAGATATGGCAATGTTCTGAGGTAGGCCTTTGGGGAAGTGACTAGACTAGAAGGTCTCTGATGTTACCAGAGGATGAATCAATTGATGGTCTCATTACTGAATGGACTATGGGGGAGTGAGGGGTGTGAAAACTATAGGAGATGGGGCCTAGGTGAAGAATGCAGGTCAATGCAGCTTTCCTTTGGAGGGCAGATCTTGTCTTTGGGCCTGTCCTTTCACTCTCTGCCTCTTGGTTGCCACTGAGATGCAGTTTTGCTTTGCCACACTCTTCCAGCAATGATGTTCAGCCTTGTTTCAAGCCCAAAATGATAAGGCCAAGAGATCATGGACCGAGATGTCTAAAACTGTGAGCCAAAATAGACCTTTCTTCCTTGAGGTTGATTTTCCCAAGTATTTTGTCACAGGATGGACATCTAACATATTACTGTGAATCAAAAAAGTTTCTTCTCTCTAAAGACACTAAAAGGCAGTATAGATGACATTAAAAAGGCCAGAGGAGCTAGTTTGCTTTCAAAAAGATAAAAGGGCTGGAGAGATGGCTCAGTGGTTAAGAGCACTGGCTGCTCTTGTGGAGGACCTAGGTTTGATTCTCTGCAACCACAGGGCAGCTAACAACTGTCCTTAACTACAGTTCCAGGGGATCTGACACCCTCTTCTGACCTCTGGGGGCAATGTACAACATGGGTGTACTTATATATATGCAGGCAATACACTCATAACATCAAATAAAAATAGTAAATAAATAATAATAATAAAGACTAATAGCAATAAAGGTATTTCAGGTACATATATATGAAGTGCACATGAAGCAAAATGAGTTATAAACCCCTTAAAGTATTACTGGGAAGTGGAAAAGGATAAGCCAAGAGGAGGTGGCAATGGAGAGGGTCTCAGAGGGGATGGATATGATCAAGTACATTATTCAGATGTATGGAGATGTCAAAATGAAGCTCATGACTTTGTACAATTAGCATAAGTTAAAACAAATATAATTTTAAAAATTAAATTTTAAAGAGAAGAAAAGGCCCGTAAAGGCTTACCTGCATTCAGTTCAATGACAGAGCACTTGCCTACATGCTCAGTGCTGTATGCACATATTCACAGTCGGGTGTGGTGACACACACCTATAGGCTAGCACTTGGGTGGCTAAGGTAAGAAGAACGCTTGAGCCCAGGGATTCAAGGCCTGGGCAACACATCCAGACCCAGTTTTTAAATGGAGAAGCCTTTAAAATTGTGCAAGGGAGATAGCTTCTAACCCTCAGACAGCTGTGTATTTTGGAAAGAGGTTTCTTTTAGAGACTCAAGATTAAGAAAAGCTTACTACTACAAATTATGGTTAAGTTGGTAGTATTTACAGACTACAAGCATTGTGCCGAAGTCACAGAGGGACACCCCCAGCAGCTGAGTCTCTGTCCCAAGAGCCAGGGGACAGCACCTAGCTAACAGAGAATCTCACCACGTCCCTCATTACCTGAGATAAAGTTTTGATCACATCATAGAAAACATTTTTTAAGATCTCCTCATGCAATATTTACAAGTGGCTATAAAGAGCATGGGAGGGGGGTCACAGAAGATGAGCAAAACCACCTTACCTCGTGGGCCCAGTAGTGCCCTGAAATAGATACTAAGTGATGCATCAAAATTTTCCATTTTGAAACCTATTAAGGGAAAAAAAAAAAAAGACATTGATTCATCTCTACTCAAAATACTTTTCATAAAACAAGTTGTTTTCAAACAAGATAAAATGGACATGGCTAAATTCCAAACAAAACTTTTTTTAAACTCCCCAAAGTAATTTACATGTTAGTTCTAACTTGAAAATTGAAAGGAAAAGTCTTATGAATTCACTTTAAAAACGAAGTGCCCGTTTTCTAAACTTCTTTTCTCAGTTCCATAAAAATTCTCCCTGTGATGCTGAGCCTCAGTGAGAGGAGGAACTGGACTGAGAGGTGGCACAGATATCCACTGTGTCAAGAGAAAGGCCACTCAAGTAGCAAAGGCAGGAAGAGCCTCCAGGGAACAGTGTGAAGTGACAGGAGAGGCGGTGTGAACTTGCTTGTCACCTTTTTGTTGCTGTTGCTATTGTTACAATTTAAAAATTTTTATTACCTTAATTTAGTGTGGGGGTGGGCATCCAGGTGAGGGTCAGAGGACAACCTGCAAGAATCAGTTCTGTCCTTCTACCATGTGGGACACAGGGATCAAACTCAGGCTGTCAGCTTGGTGGCAAGTGCTTTACTTTACTTGTTAGGTCATGTACCCAGCCCAATGTTATTACTAGTTTCATAAGTTAGCATGCAAAATAATGGGTTTCATTATGGGCTTCATTATGGGAATGGGAATGTGAGTATGAGTGTGTGTGTGTGAAAGAGAGAGAGAGAGCGAGAGAGAGAGAGTGTGTGTGTGTAGATCACTTAGCATTAAAAATAATCATAAACTGATCATAGCAGTGAATCAAAAGTGTTCTGCCCTGAAGGCTTCAAATTAATGCCAGGCATAGTAGCACACTTCTTTGATCCCAGCATGAGGATCGCAGAAGCAGGCAGATCTCTGTCAGCTCCAGGTCAGTCTGGTCTATAAAGAGAGTTCCAGATTAGCCACAGTTACACAAAACCCCCTTCCCCAAAAAATTCAATTTAATTTCATAAAACCTTAATTTTTTGGGTTTTTTGTTTGTTTTTGTCTTTTTGAGACAGGGTCTCCATGTAGCCCCAGCTGCCCTGGAACTCACTATGTAGACCAGGCTGGCCTTGAACTCACAGAGATTCACTTGCCTCTGCCTCTGCCTCCCAAGTACTGGGATTAAAGGCATATACCACCACGCCTGGTCTATAAAACCTTATTTCATATTTTTAAAGAATGATGTTCTCAGCTAGGATGTAAAACCATCTCACCATGGGGAATCACAGTGAGACCAGAAAAGCACTGTTACATAGGAAGAGAACACATTACTTGTTTCAATTAATAAAACATCTTGGAGATGGTACTTATGTATTTATTTACATCTTCTAAGAGTCTATAACTGCCTGCATTTTCTTTTTTCTCTAATATAGATATACATTTAGAGGCTGGCAAAGTATCTTTGTGCATTGAATAAGTTTTATTAAAGTTAGAAAGCATACATTTTTAAGTTTCTTGGTCATTCTTCTTATAGGAAGTAGTGGTGGATGGATATGATCAAAATACATTGTATCAGCTCGTCGTGGTGACACAGGCCTTTGATCCCAGCACTTGGGAGACAGAGGCAGATAGATCTCTGTGAGTTCCAGGTCAGCCTACTCTATATAGCCAGTTCCAGACCCTGTCTCAAAAAACCAAAAACCAAACAAACTTACGTCCTATCAAGGTATGACTCTTACAAAGAATTATATATATATGAAAATGCCACCAATATTTTAACTTCAAGGTCAAGAGAAAAGTTGTTTTTATCAACTAAGCGGTTAGTCATTTAGTGATTCTTCCTTCTCTTGGCTGTCATACTGAAGTGTGTATATTCTCCAGCTAATTTCCAGATAAATTCCCTTATGTATGAAATTATCCGAGAGCTCTGGTAATTACAATTAAGTCAATTCAGCCAGGATATGAGGCAGAGATGGGAGGGACCACCACTGACAGGGAAAGCACCTGCTTCCCGGCGGTGCTTCAACTGCTTTCCCAGGGGGGGATATGGGGGAGTCAGACTCCCTCAACTGGTGGCAGAAACCATGACTGCCCTGGCCCCTCTTTCCATCCGCCATGACACAACACTGGCACTAGACCACTTCTGAAACCAAGGCTATCTACGGACCACGTGATACACAAGCTGCTCATCAAGGTCAGGTTCTCCTCCCCAAGGCATCTTGCATCCAACTCTTATTACCAGATGGGAATTCTTTACTAATTTAATGATGGGTCCCACTGATGTGGCTTTAAACAGGTATAGAGCACAACTTAAGCTGACCAACAAGTGGTTCAGTGCTGAGCTCTAAGACACTTAGGCCTTGAAACCGATTTTCTACTTACTCAAATTGTGGCAGACTGACTGTTTATCCTATCCATAAAATGGGATAGCTGCCTCTAAGGTTTAGACGCCAGGATTTAGCATACACAGGCTTTAACACAGTGCTAGGGGTGCAGAAAGCCCCCACAGTTCCTGTCCTACACTGTCAGCAGCTCTAGGATGAACATTGAAGCCACCCACCACTGCCTGTGTACTCTGAGGGGAAGCCGTCACTGCCCTGTGCGCTGTGGATCATTAACCTGCCCTGGGTCCCTGTCTACTAATGATCAGTTAACTGCCAGTCCTTACAATAACCACTCCTAGGCCAACAGCAATAAAAGGTGAGGCGCTATTTCAGGAGGAACTTGTCAGAAAGAGAGATTACCCAAATAAGAAAGTCAAGATTCAAACGAAAATACAAATATTAGCGATTCTTGTGTCCCAGGGATTGTCAGATACAAGCAAAGGCCACCTTGAACAGGTTATGCACAGGAAAGAAGCCAGGCTCAGGGAGTCAAAAACAAAATCCAGTTTTTAAACGCACAGATATTACACTACACCTCTATCTGTAGCTGCATTCATAAGTACTTAATGGTGAAAGAATAAAATTCAAGTAACGATATTCTGGACTCTAAAAGGAATACTTCCTGGAGAGACAGTAGGGAGATGATAAGGGATCCGTTCACTCTGTTTTAACTGCCAGGCTTTTCAGAAGGCTGCAGATGGTCTCAGTTTTCTAAGTAGAGGAAACGGAAAAGTTGAAAACAAGAGTGAAGAAAGGCCTTAAAATCATACAATACAGATGGTCTGGGAAGGGAAGGGGGTGGACAGAGCAGGAAAGTCATTAGTGGATTGGGAAAATGTAAGTTCCAGGAATTGCTCTAAATGACCCATTATTACAAGGGCAACAGACTAGGACAGAGTCCAACTTGAGAATCTAGGCTAACAGGCAGGAGAAAAGCAGCTTGATTAAACACAGGTTAAAATGTTAGTCCTAGAGTACTGAACCCAGCTTCAGGCTACCAAAAAAAGGCTGTAGGACTTAGTGTTTGCAGACACCACAGACAAGCCATCTGTCCCGGAGGCTAGACTGCTCTGTAGCACAGGCCTGGGAGCCAGTGGACACGGGGCACTTCAGTCTTCATAAGATGCCATCCTCACTACAGAAGCACACCCAAGAGATTTTGCCAGAAACAACACACGGGTTCAGAGGCCGCATTTCTTGAGTTTGCAGAACTTTTCACAAACTCACGAACATAGTGACAAAGAAGCCAAACGAAGAGATATGTGGAAAACAGTAACGGTATTTTTCAGAGTTGACTGCATCTATGATTAAAAGGGAGAAGAGAGGTAAATATGGGCCTGGAATGCAGACCCCTAAACCGGGAAGCCTGATTTTGGGCTTGATGCTTGACTCACCCCCAATCACACCCACAACTGGGCATGTCTATATGCTCCTATGTGAAGGTTGATCTTCTACAAGTTAGCAAGAGAGATCTTCACTAAAGGCTCCTGGCTCCATTTGCTCATATGATGTCATGTGTCTGCCCAACAGTCACCAATTCACGCAGTGTATTCACTTTTTCATTTACACCCACAGTTACTAAGTGTCTACACCAGGTACCAGGCCACTAAGGCCTTAAGGCCCCAAGAGACACAGCATGCTACAAACAGAATTCAAGGCTAGGGGGAAAGGCATACCATGAACATATACAGTAATCTAAACAGTTTCAATTACATGCAGGCCAAAAATACAGGCTTGTATCTAAAAATGTCCCTAAGGAATATTGATGCCGGAGATTTGGAAATGCCAAAAGATGCCTTTATACAGTGTGCTTTAAGTGAAAAGGTTAAAGTTTGTTATCGCATGTATATAGGAAAACTGTGTACATAGTTTCACACTGTCTGGCTTCAGGCACTCAATGGCAGGAGTGTGTCTTGGAATATATCCCTATAGATAAGGGAACTACATAACGACAACAGGCACACACATGAAATGTGAAATACCTTAACAAGAAGAATAAAGCAGGGCAAAGAGGGCAGAATGAACTGTGAATGGGATTAATTTTATACAGCAAAGTTAAAGAAGGCTGAACACAAGGAAGTACTGACCCCTTTAAGGGAAAGCATGCCACTCTAGACAGAGGCATGCAATGGTGCGGAGGCTCACACTTGGCCCTGAACAGTGAGAACTGGTCAGCAGGGCAGTTACATGGCACACCTAGCAGGGAACATGTGACGAACGGCTGGGAACAAAGATGGTGGCCAGTCCTTAACTGCTCACATGGCTTCTCATGCACTGGGAGGCACAGGATCCCGAAAAACACTTAACACTTTGCCTAGTCATCCAGAATTATGGGAAGGGCATGACCCACTTTGCACAGGATGCTCAACTGCACTTCCGGTCTGCAGCAGTTCCACAGCTCCCAAGCCATGTGGGCTAGCAACATGATTTTGCAAGTGTGCTGGGCCAAGTAGGAACACAGCTGCTTTGTACCACAGTGCTAGCTGGGACCAACACGCAAGAGGAGCTTTGATCCTCTGTGTAGCAAACAATAGACCTTTCTTGACTGCCTGGCTCCTTACAAACTGACCACAAGAGAGACATGACAAGAGTGGATCACTATCCCCAGAAACTAGACCCTTCTGACACCAAAGAAGAGTACCAGCCTCTTTACA